TATTTCGTTTGGTGGGTGGATTGAACCACTGGAGTGAGGTCACGCTTACCTCTGAACCACCGGTGCCACACAAACCTGGCAATTGATTTGGAAGCAGTAAACTCTCATTACGCCTCTGCGCATACATATTTGTTATTAGGTTCCTAAAATAGCTTTGTGATGTTTTATATTGCAAAACTCGAAATAGATTTCAAATGTTACATGCTTTTAAAAATCATATGACAAAGAATTGGATTGTTCTATTAATTTGCACATTAACAAAGAGATATTTCTTATCTTTCTAGTTGGCGCCGATGGTGTAGTGATAAGCGTGACTACTTTCTCATCCCAATGGGTCTGGGTTCAATCCCAGCCGAGGTCGCTGGGATTTTTCTAAGGCAAAATCTCTGGTCACGTCTTCCTTCGGAAGGGAAGTGAAGCCGTTGGTCCCAGCCTATGTGTGTTGAATGGGTGTATGTCACTAGATTGCGGAATAGATACCAACGTTAAATAAAGGAATGAAGTTATCTTTCTAGTTTACACATTATAAGATTCAAGCCATACACCAATTATCAAAGTGTCCTCCAATTACAACAACTCAACTTCAAACCAACTCAAATTTCCAATTCAGGGCTCTAAAAATTCCTGTTATTCTTAAGGTGAAAGTTGGTGGAATCCTCAAATGGCTGCTGCTCTGATTATTATGCCTTGACAATTGGAATTATGATGAAGGGAAACTCGAAACTATAAAGATTTTGTGCAGGAAATCGTAATCATATGGAACGACGAAGTCTCTCAAATAAAAGAAAAGAAAAAGGATATTTAAGTTACGTGGAAAACTGTATAGAGCCAATGACGTCGTACTTTATGGCTCCATATAGTTTACCGATTTATCATACCCACACTTCGGTATTCAGATTTTAAAATGACCGTTCTCACTTACCATATGGTCCCCTTTGTACCTTGTGTACCTTAGAGAATTGCCGCACCAATTAACGAAAAAAAAAATGACTCACACAGATTCGTTTTCAGTGTTTCGACTAGATGGTATGTTGCTGTTTTTAGTAAAGTTATTCAGATGTATAAGACCTATTGTATAATTGACAGCTCAGATTAGAATTCTCATATCTGTCGGCGTTTATGTACCATTTGACTTCTGATTACTTGCTTTAACTTGACTGATCTGCTACATAGAAGGTTACTGTCTATGGAAAATTTGTTCAGATGAATACAACAAATTCCGAATTTTATTTTATGTTCCAAGTTGAATTATGTGTCTATCTTCAACATTAATTTTATTTACCGTTACTTGACAAATGGTGACTACACAAGAGATTTTTTTTTTGTCAATCACCCATATTCATGGAACGGTTCCGAACTGTACAAAACATTTATGCAATTTGCGTTGCAATCTTTCTCGAAAGAAAATATGACAAAGAATAATGATATTTATAAAAACTACAACTATAATTAGAAATATTCGTTTAATATGTTCGGGTTTAATCTATTCTATTGGGAGTTTAACATGCTATGCTGAAACAATCAAATGTATGTATGTATGTTTATCAAATTTGATTTCATTATTCAGATTATATTTTTTTGATTTTGGAGCTGTGCTATTGAAAAAAAAATGTGGTTTGCTAAATAAATAAAAACAATACCCAGTTGAATTGACCCACAACGAAAAGTAACCGCACGCCAGTCCCTTTAAGAAAAATTACGATTGCATTTAATAAATTATAAAACAACGTAACAGCTATGTTTTAAGACTTGCTCCTATAAAATTAAAGAATGTTAGACAACATATCCCATCATGAGATTTGATTCAAGACATATTCCGTCCACTTCCCTTAGTGTATCCAAAACATGTCCGGATATAGCCAATATAGTTTTTTCGACTTGCAATGTATATGACTTTGAATTCTCATGTGATTTGATGTGTCGAATGATGAATTTTGATTTAAAATGTTTTACCACTTCCCGGAGACAACCGGAACATGTCCGGGTGTGGCCAACATGGTACTTGTTACTAATCATGACTCTAATTGATGTTATTTTTGAATTTTCATGTTAAATGATTCATCGCATGTTGGGTTTGACACATTTTGAAAAGCTCTGATCTGAAGACGCATACTATCATTGTTCTGGAACCAGCGGAACGAATACAGTCACATTCAATAACGTTCTATGGGACCATGGTATCTTTCTACTGTTCAATAATGCGCTAAACTGATGCAGCATTGTCATGGGATGTGACTGAGTTGCCACTATTTTTCTCATTGACATTAAAAGCAATCGCCAGTAAGTCTCACTCAGGTGTTGATCATAAAATAAAAATTTAACGATATTTAATATAAAATCAGAAAACTTGAAAAATCTTTGAACGCCGTTTCTTATTTCCAGTTTGACTTGCGATTAGGGGCAGTAAAGGTAAACTAAATTTAAGTTAACTTTAATAAGTTTCAGTTGGAAACCACTTGTCTGTCATAGTTCTGCAACATAAACATTTGTGATTATGCGCTTTGATTATTAAAGTTGTTTTTCCATGACTAACATTAGGACGTTTCCGAAAGTTGGGTGAACATGTTTGGAACCTAATATGAATAAAAGAGAAACTGATTTTCCAATTTCAAAAATTGGATCTTAATATTAGAATATTGATTATTGATAAATTATTGAATGGAGCAGCAACGTCATCAATGCGGTCGTGCTTAGTACAAAATCCTTAACTTTTTTTTATGTAAGTGAATTTAAGATGGTTTCTATGATTAGCGATAACTTTTTAGTTATTTGAAATAGACCAGCATTATTTTCTACAAAGTTGTAGAATAATTCAGTTGGAGCTTCTCTGTTCAAGTAACAAATTTTATATTTCTGATAGTTCTTATTTTAAATTGGTTTTAAAAAGGTAGCTTAGGCTGACTCCTAAAATATCAGTTTGCTCACATTAACTTTTCATATATGATTTGTTCTAGACACTTTAAAGAACTTTTGATTGCGCATGTTTTTGCTGAAGCAGTTAAGTTCCTGTTTTTTCTGTTCGAACCATGTATAACTTTTCAAAAAAATAAAGAGATTGGAACATAGCGGCGCCGGCGGTGTAGTGGTAGGCGTGATTATCTATCATCCCAACAGGCCTTGGTTCAATTCCAGTCGGCACCGCCGGCATGTTCTGAGGCATAACATCTCTCATCACGTCTTCCTTCGGAAGGGAAGTAAAACCGTTGGTCTCCGGTTCATGAGTTGATGGGTCAATAGGTGGGGTCCAAGTGTGGGAGCTGCCTCCCTGGCGTCGGTAGCATTGGTGCTCAGCACGGAAAACAAGATCGACGGAAATCAAATCAAGAAAAAAAAGAGATTGCAACTTAGTTACTTCTACAAAAACATACGCAATCGAAAGTTTTAAAATTGTATAGAATAAATCATTTGCAAGAAATAAATGTATAAAAAGTTAGTAAAAACCTTATGTTTTAGGAGACACTCTAAGTTACCTTTTTAAAACCAGTAAACAATGAGAACCATGAGAAACATGTTTATCTTCTCAAATACGGCATTAGGAAATAGAACATTGCTTCACATCCTCCTCTGCTTGACCATCAAGCAGTACAGTTCGGCTGAAAAATGACATTTTGTTATTTTAATATTTATTTGATATTGTAAAAAATATTTCGATAACTGAATAATATCAAAACAAGGTTTTATACCACAAGCATACCAAAATAAGGTATCATACCACATAAAGAAATTCATATGTTATCGGTTAGCAATCGGTTCCTGCTCGGGTACTCGCTGTCTCGAGTTGTTCGCTAGTTCGTTGCGATAGTTTTCGCGGTGTTTGGTGAAGCATCGTACGAGCCCAGCATGGGAAAACCGCTGCGTGTCGACGCGACTGATATTTCAGCCGGGAAAAGATCTCGATCGGACACCACCAGTGCACAATTGGCATCGAAGAAGCTGTTGGCCAACAACCGTTACGCCTTCCTGTAAAACGGCGATGAACCGAAGGTGGAAAAGAAAGAGAAAGTTCCACCGTTCTTCTTGAAAGGATTCCCGGAAGGCTTGCGGGAGAAACTCGACTTTTACATTGGGAAAGGTCTCAAGTGTACGATGCGTATTTGTACTGAAGGCATCAAGCTGATGATGCCAGCGATAAACCACTACAAGGCCGTCGAGGCGTTGCTGAAACAGAAAAAAACTACAAGGGACAGCTCTATGGGGTTGTACGCAATGGTGACGTAGGACTACGTGGTCTTATATAATAAATGGTAATGTGTATCTTTATTCAGCCAGGTATTAATCTGAACCATATTTTAATTATTTTTCTTACCTCATTTTCATATTTTCATTTTCTGTTCTATTTACTATCGTACAGATTTGTCATGAATCTGATGAAATATTGCTTGGAGCCAATGCCCATGATTGTGTTGGGTAATTAAAATTTTTATTCAACAGATTGCGTTCAACGTATCCACATCGTATAATGGCCGCACCAAGCAGACCGCTCGTAAGTCCACCGAAGGAAAGGCTTCTCTCAAACAGATGGAGGAGTGAAGAAGTCTCATCGCTACCGGCCAGGAGCTGTCGCTCTGCGTGAGATCCGTCGTTACCAGAAATCGACCGAGCTGCTGACTGCAAGTTGCCTTTCAAGCGTCTGGTACGTGAAATCGCCCAGGACTTCAAGACCGATCTGCGCTTCCAGAGCTCGGCCGTTAATGGCCTTACAGGAATTCAGCGAGGCCTATCTGGTCGGTCTGTTCGCCATCCATGCCAAGCGTGTCACAATTAATTCATGTTCCATTTTCGGTTTTCACAATGTGTACCCCCATATAGAAATCACAGACGTCCTACGTCAAAACCGTACGGTCGTGTCATGGATACAACCTCTTATTCTTTTTGTAAATATTAATTTCATAAGGCAAATCAACTGATTTCTTATCGTGAACTTTGCTAACACCTCTTTCACGTTGGAAATCGATTTGTGGCCCTGAAAAGGGCAGATTGATTGTTTGGATGGTACGAATTTACTTGGAGCTAATGTACTTGTTGACGGCCTTGGTTCCTTCAGAGACAGCGTGCTTGGCCAACTCACCCGGCAGCAGCAGACGGACAGCAGTTTGGATTTCGCGGGAGGTGATCGTCGAGCGTTTGTTGTATTGAGCCAGACGGGACGACTCAGCAGCAATACGTTCGAAGATGTCATTGACGAAGCTGTTCATGATGCTCATGGCCTTCGACGAGACTCCGGTGTCCGGGTGGACCTGTTTCAACACCTTGTAGATGTAGATGGCATAGCTTTTTTTCCTGCGCTGTCTCCTCTTCTTCCTTCCGGACTTCTTGGCGGCCTTTCCACTGGTTTTAGGTGCCATAATTTAGCTGTTCGCTTCGGTAGAGAATAACTGATAGTCGTTTCGACGGTGGTGTCTCGTTTTGTGCCCGTAGCATAAGAAGCGAAGCTCCTCCCCTTTTCAGTATTTTGCTTCCCACTGTATGTATTGTACCCTCCCTGTATTAATAATATGCTACTCGACGCAGGTATAAGTATACCCTCGATGAGTGAAATAAACCGACCTATCTGGTCGGTCTGTTCACCATTCACGCCAAGCGTGTAACAATTATGGCAAAGGACATTCAGCTGGCTTTTCGTATTTGTGGTGAACGCTCTTAATTTTTTCCGTCAAAATCTATCAAAACCGGCCCTTTTCAGAGCCACTAAAAGATTCCACAAGAGAGTTGGGAAGGAAATTTCTGCTGCTTACAACTGATCGCATCACAGTGAATCCTGATCTAAAAATTTCAATCAGCAAGTGCCCTAGAACCGAAAGCGATGCGATGCTATGACGATGACTGTAAGGGGCTTAGAAGCAGAAGGGTGAAAGCCAATTCGCTTTTTCGATTTCCTCTTTTGTGATGACCATAGCTTCCTATTTCGCACTATTTCTGCTATGCTCTTCTATCATCCACAACAATAAACGTATCAATGAATGTGTTTGCCGTCGAGTTAACGTTATCTGACCGTGCACTACGTAGTTGCTCCTCCGTGAATGATCACAACTAATCCACTTGCACAGAGAACTACATAGATGGGTGCATGGGATAAGCTTTCCATCTTCAATGTACAAGCACATTAATTCATTCTATAGATCAATTCACAGCGCCGGCCACATCCTCCCGGTCTTTTGGGGAGGGAAGGATGATTAGTTCGACGTCCGGTTGTTACTAGAGACCGAGAATACCTCTACATCTCCACGGCTATCTCGGGAAGGATAGTAGTGTAAGTGAGGTAGGTTATTTTTAAATTAGGATTCACTGTGGTAAGTGATGCGATCGGTTAAAGCAGAATTGGTTCTTTATTTAAATCTAGTGGGGATAGAATAAGGCAAAGTGAAAAATTGCAAGGGGGGGGGGGGGCTTAGTAAGCAGAAACGGTAACCACTGAACTACCGAACCTCGTCGTAATGCTATATTGACATGTTTCGTCTACTTACTACTCTCTGACGACTGTGCTGGGGAAGCAGCATATGCATGTACGTAATTGGTGGATTTGTTAATTATTTCGACTCTTTTGGACAATGCTTGACATTTACTACTTTTTCAATAGTTTCTTGTTGAAGATTAATAGTCAAAAGCATTGATATCGATGCGTAAGTGTAGCCCTGATCGATTCGTGAAAAAATTATTGAAATTGGTACAGGGGCAGCTGAGTTATTAAAGTTCAAAATCTTTCATAATTTGTTACATGTTCCATTTTCAGTTTTCACAAAGTGTACCTCCATATAGAAATCAAAGACGTAGTCCTACGTCAAAAAGTGTAGTATTTCTCCCACGATATTGAGACGACCAAGCCGCTCAAAGCGGTCTTTCGCGGCCTTCCCGACATGGAAACAGTCACACTGTCGGATGAATTGAAGCAACATGGACTCATGCCTATCCAAATCATCAAGAGGAATCGTCATGACTCTTTACGTAAGTACCGTGACCAGCTATATTTGGTCCACCTGGAAAGGAATTAAGCATGCTTGAAGAACCTACAGCGCTTCCGGGCGCTTTTCCACAACGTGGTGATTTGGGAGCAGTATAAACCAGTCCACCGTGATGTCACTCAATGCGCGAACTGCATGCTGTTTGGGCATGGAACGAGAAACTACCACATGGCTTTCCGCTGCAACCATTGTGGCAAGCAACATGCACCTGATGCCTGCGAATTATTGGAGGAAACAGACCCCAGACCGCCAATTGTGGTGTAGCACATCGGGCAACCAGCAAGACATGCACGAAGCGAGCGGAATTCATTGCTATCCGCAATAAAGCCTCTACAAAGAGGCAGAAAAGTGCTAGAAAATAACGGGCAGAACTTTCCTGCCATCTTGCAACGGCGCCAAAATCCGGTGCTTTCACCACTTCAACTCCACAATCGTTTTGCTAGTACTGCATCGGTCCCGCCAACAGCTGGGGTGCATAACACTACGGTAAACTCAACTCAATAGTGATATGCCGCAACCGCTGCATCTTGGAGCACCTCTCCACCTCGGGGGCTATTGTGACAGCATGAAGGTGCTTCACCAACGACACTCTGCTTACAACGGCTGAACATGTTACACCCGTGACAGAAGTCATCATGATCCAGTGCACCTGCAGGACCCGAACAGAACAGCTTCATGCTGCAGCACCGAAACACACCTGAAGCCCGATATAATCGTCTTCCTTCCCGATTTTCGGCGTGCGAGGCTGGATCGAACCAGCTCCGGAAGAGGAGGAGTCGCCATCGCTCTAAAGAGGAACATCAACGGTCGGGTGCTGCCGAGCTTCCTGCTGAAGAATTTTGAAGCCGTAGTGGTGGAAGTTTCATCACCATCATTGCGGCTTACTGCCCAAGCAAGTCAACATCAGGGGTGATCCAGACCTGCAGGGCAGCAGACCTGCTAAGCTAACACGATGGCAGGAAAACTTCTTCATCGCTGGTGACCTGAACGTCAAACATCAAGCTTGGGGCAACAGTCGGCGCAATGAAAACGGAACCATCCTGAACAACGACCTGCAGGAAGCGCATTACAACATCTTGAGTCCGGACACTCCCATCTGGTTGAGTCGGTCCAGTATTCACGCTTCATCTTCATCAGCAACATGGGCAACAACATCGCTCAACCTATCAGCTACCAGGAACTCAGTTCGGACCACTATCCAGTGGTGGCCGAAGTTAGTTCCTTGGTGACCCGATTCGAAGCTTTACGGCGCAACTACCATCGTGTCAACTGGGATCAATATCAACACTGCGTCGACACAACCTTCGCCTACGATGTCCAACCGGAGACGTCCGAAGACGTTGACCGGTGTATGCAATCCATCGAAGAGGCAATATCCCGGGACAGGGAACAACACGTGCCAGTATCCAGACAGGTGAGCAATACTCGGAACCTTCGCAGAGCTACCAAAAAATTTTAAACACCATCCGAAGGCAGTACCAACGCTCTGGTCTGCCTGTTCATAAGACCAATTGCAATCGCCTTACCAAACGACTAAGATCCGCTCTCTCCCAGATTTGTGATTACCAAAATTCTTAAAAATAATCCAATGCCCATTCCACCACTGATACCGCTGAATCGATTCAGTGGTTCATCTGATAACCCCTGCAGAGAAGGATGCAGTGATAGGTCAACACTTTGTCACCTCCCACAATCTCGGACAGAACAGCACAAGTCCACAGAAGGCGGCAGTTGCTGAAAACGCAGCCAACCTCCATCAGATTCCCAACATCTTTCCTGAAAAATCCAAGATCACAGCTTACGAACTTTTGGCCTATATCAAATCATCCAAAAATTTGATGACCCCAGGTTCCGACAACATCCTCAATCAACTCAATTTCAGATTCAGTTTAAGATTGTCAGAGTTTCAGATTTTTTAATACTCTGGCACTGATTTTCAATTAGTGCCTCCGACTTGGCTACTTCTTTTCGTGCTGAAAGTTAGGTAAAGTCATACCCATCCGGAAACCTGGGAAGGATCCTTCATCTCCTTCAAGTTACCGACCCAGCAGCCTTCTATCAGGGTTGTCCAAGCTTAAGGGGTAATTTACAGCCGGCTTCTAACATCTGCCGATGAAAACAACATCTTACTCGAGGAGCAGTTTGACCGTTCACCAACTGACCCGGGAAACAAACATCCAAAACACGATCCTTAGGATGATCCTAAACAGTCCTCCATGGACGCGAAACTCTGAGGTCCACCGCCTGGCTGGTCTTCAGTCTCTGTAAGAGCGAAGAACGGTCTTCTTGGAAAGGTTTAGAGACACCTGTCTGAGATCAGATCATGAGATCATACGTGATCTAGCACGTTAGGTTAAGTTATACTCGTAGTTAGGTAGGTTATTACATTTTTCAATAAAACGAAACACACCCCTCAAGGGGTATTCTGTAAACTAGATGACAAACGCAAATATTAAATTATAATATCCAATTGAGCAAAGATGACTTAATTGAAATGTCAAATCAATGTACAATCATAATAAATAGAAATAAACGAAATTTTACTACTAGTAGAACATCTCTTAACAAGCGATAACATGTAAGTTATTTAACATCAATGCATCCGATTAGCGGCACCGGTGGTGTAGTGGTAAGCATGATTACCTCTCACCCCAGCAGGCCTGGGTTCAATCCCAGTCAACGCCACCGGGATGTTCTGAGACATAACATCTCTGATCACGCCTTCCTTCGGAAGGGAAGTAAAGCCGTTGTTTTTTTTTTTTTATTTCCTTTGGTTTGTTTTTTTTCCGTCGATCTTGTTTTCCGTGCTGAGCACCAATGCTACCGACGTGCCAGGAAGGCAGCTCCCTGGACCCTACCTATCGACCCATCATCAACTCATGAACCGGGGACCAATGGCTTTACTTCCCATCCGAAGGAAGGCGTGATCAGAGATGTTATGCCTCAGAACATCCCGGCGGCGCCGACTGGGATTGAACCCAGGCCTGCTGGGGTGAGAGGTAATCACGCTTACCACTACACCACCGGCGCCGTTAAAGTAAAGCCGTTGGTCCCCGGTTAATGAGTTGATGGGTCGATAGGTAGGGTCCAGGTGTGGGAGCTGCCTTCCTGGCGTCGGTAGCATTGGTGCTCAGAAAGTAAAACCAAGATCGACGGAAAACAAATCAAGGAAAAAAAATCAATACATCCGATTCCATCTTATTTCAGTGCCACCCATCTGTAAAACTTGAATTATTCTACCACGCGTGTATAAAAAGATAAACTCAGTCGTTTTTCTCAAAGAAAACATTTTTACTAAACAAATTGACACAATAATCCATGACATGCAAAGACGCCCCACGAGTTGCAACTCTAAGGTTAATAACCACCAATAGCCTAGTGTAAGTAGAAGGCCTTCGTTGTGTAGCAGTTTTATTACCATACAATTCCAACAAGCGTCAAACAACCCGAGTCTACTCGTAGATTCAGCCACCTTGATGCTCGTGTGACTCATTCAACAATTAATCGCTCACTACATGGATCCGAAAAAAAAGACCGCTCTAAGAGGGACAAAAACGTGAGCGCTTTACTATATCCCAACGACGCAATGCAAACGCGCAAAAATGAAGATGATGAATGGAGCTGATTCGAGGCGGAAAATGTATGATGAACGGAAACTGAACTGACACCGACGATGACGACACATGCAGCGGATTTGAAGTGATGCAATAATAAAAGAAAATTAATGATATTTTTTACATTCAAATTTGATTGTCAACTATTCTGACAGACTTCAACAAAGAAACGTTGATTCGGCCTTTTTCACTCGCTTTCGACCGTAAAAATGCAGCTGCACTCCATGTGGCTTTCAATCATTTTACATCCAGAGAGGAGATGAATGCTTTTTACATACTCGAGTAAATAAAGTTCCATGCAGAGGGATGCATCATGCATCAATCTTTAATAGACTCGCTGCTGGTAAAATGGCTGATTTTAACATTCCATCTATAGACGGATAAGGCAAAGCGGGTGACTGAAGATACAGATGGGGTAATAGAAGATATATTTATTCCATTATATTTTTCGATAAAAAAAACAAAAACATTTTTATAGCTGCTTGCCGTTTCGAACTTTGATATCAATTGTGTATTGAAATTCATTACAAGCCGACCGTTTTTCAGAGTAATGATTCCACTCTTTGAAAATGCCCCATAATGCCATAAAATTTCAATTAATAATGTATTGGTAGTATCGCAAATAAGAGCTTAAGAAGTTGATGGTTATCCATGAAGTTAGAATTAAGTTTGTAATTTAATAATCATCAAATTTTTAAAATCTAACAGGTAACAATTTGTTGGATTTTCATAGAATAAATATATATATAAAACTAAACCTTTTTCAATTCCACCCCTGTAATTGTTTGCAGTGGTAGCCAAAAATTCAAGTCATCTCTCAGCTCACTTTATGGGTTGCATTTGCTCCATTCCTACAAGAAGGCGTTTTCATCGTTTAGCAAGATTTCCCCTCTCGAAAAACCCAGTTTAGTTTCAATTTAATTCAATAACAAGATAAAATCTCATTTCGCACCGCAGGTTTGCAAAGCACCAAAATTTTAACCAGAAATTTATGCGAGTTACTTCATTGCTTCCCGGGAATCACTTTCTCCTTCGCCGTACCACCAACCAGCACATGGATCCTTAGCGTTGTTTCAACAATTGGGCAAGAAGAGTGTGCCGAATAATATAGAGGGCTGTTGCAGCAAGCTTCGGTTGGGTGGTAAAACTCTGTCTTTCCGTCGTAATTTCTCTGCTGTCAAGAGTGGAAGCACCAGTAGTATCCGACACCCAGGAAAATGAATGCTCGAGTATTTTTCTCGAGTGTTTTGTTTGCAAACAACGAAGAATGGATCAGTGGCTAGCTCAACAGCAGAGCACACCAATTTAGTACTTCTTTGTTGCCGTATTTCAAAAGCTTTAAAAAGCTTCTCTTGCGATGGTCCGCTCGTGGTTCTTCTGGGTATTGATGTTGCCTTACAAGCACGCCACACTGCCTGCCGACGTCCTCCTCAACCTAACATTTCTCATCCCATCTTCCGAACGTAGAACGTCCGCCGCAAGCCGATTTTTTAACCACACCGGATGAGTTTAATAGCGCTCCGAAATATGTGGCATGACACAGTGTTATGAAATCTTCACGAATAATATAAAAGGAAATCGAAAGTAGGCAAGCCAATACTTGGAACGTGACGGTTATCTTTCTTCTTAGTCAAATCAATGCGAACAAGTGGAGTGGTTTTTTTTATTTCACTCCTATGTATTGCATTACGCTAAAAAGTGGTTCAATAAGTACACCATGGAATGTCGAAACTAGTGAGGCAACTTTAAAGCGCGAGATACCGTTCTGATTCATGTTTCGGACACTTAAGGAATGTGCTGCACACAGCAAAAAAATAATTTTAACATCACATCAAAGTGGATGCACGTCAATCGAAAATATGGTGCAATATTACTTGCCAAAAAGGACATAATTATCATTAATACAGTGCATGAACTGGCATTACGCTGCTTTTGCTGCATTTTTTTATTTTTGTCGCCATAAAAATTACATGAGATTTTCAACATGATTTAAGTGGATGTAATATTAAAAATTATTTTTTGCTGTTCACAAAAGGTTTTGCTTTACATTTCTGAAGTATCCTTTAGTTGAGCTATCTAAGATGATATTTAAAAGTTAATATCAAACATTTGCGAATAAAAGTGTTATTTAACTAGGACTACCAAGATTAAAACTTCGGACACTTGTCTTTGAGGATATTCAAATTTTCGGCACCCGATTTTGAATATGCATTTTTAAGCAATTATTATATATTCTCATTTAATTCGTTTATTATACCTACGTTATGATATTATGAAATAACTGAATAAAATTGCCTTTATTTTGTGAAATGTTTTTAAGTGTATTTTTTTCCCAAATAGTCCTAGATGTTCCCTACATAATTTCCCAAGGTACCAAAGCGATTGGAAAAACATTTTTCTAGTAGAATTTATTGCAACGTACCGTAATCCATTTGTGAATTATTGACATATTAATACAAATATGGAAATAAATTTCTACACAAAAATAAAATCGAAATCCTAATGGTAAAATCAGAAGCTATTTAGACTCTATCGTACTGCATGGTTACTTTTTACATACTTATTATTTATTGTTTATTTTTAGGACATTTTTAAAAGCTCAAATACAACAATATCGATAATTTGTGAAATGTATGAACCCTTCAAATATTAAAGTTGGGTTTCCTGATTCTGAATAAGATGCTGATATCCTTGTGCGAAGGCAATTTTCAACAGAAATGCCAGTAATAAAGTTTCATGAAATGCGCAGTTGCGCCTAACTGTAGGCATTTATTCATTTATTACTGTAATTTTCATAGATTTTGCCATACATATACGCAAATAAATCTATGATTGAATTATTTTAAATTTGATTTACACCCTAGGGCCAAACACCAGAGCACGGTGCTAAAACGAGCATGCTAACTCTATTATTGCAATTTATACAATAGGAACATCGTGCAAAATATATAGGAATTTGAATATAATTGTTTTGTGATATAATTGTTATTTGTTATTCTTTAGCAAAAAGTCTCGTAACTTTAAGACTTAAATTGCGTTCTGTAGCATTTAACAGCTTGACAATAGGTGAATCAATGGAATGCCTTCTCATGTAAAATAATTGTAGTCACTTGCTACATGTTTTGCATGCCCAGTCATCAAAACTTCTAGACGGACTAGAAAATTTACCTTTACCGTTTATAAACATTCTACTTCAAGCTTTAACACCGAATTTAACCAAGTATCACCAGAATATAGCTACAAGCTATAAATATTGAAGTATACACATTTATATATGTACCAATGTCATTGTTGAATGTGTTAAATGCAAACCTACTTCAAGCATCTCCACATCTGCAAAGTGTAAATTGCTACGATTTGTAAATAATTATCTCTCAACAAACGTACCGACTACAACAGCTTCTCTGCCACTTTTTAAAGTGAGAATAGCTCACAATCGCACGCGAGGTCCGTACCCTAGAAGACATAGTAGAAACACTGAAAATACAAAGATCTCTACTCAGCATTGTCAACCCGTACGCAAAAGTGCGAGGTCAACCACACGCCATCACCGGTTGCTGCCCAATCTTCAAGTCAGTGTGGGTCAAAATGAAAGCAAAATGCAGACAAGCTCAACAGTGTCGACTTCGGTGCGGTCTGGAACAGAACTTTTTAGTCGTCGGTTTGAATTCTAATTAAACTTAAAGATTTGTTGTATAAGAAGTTCGTTGGTAATAGAGATTTGCTTAGTTTCAACGCGGCAAACATCGAGTGCAGAAGTGCTAAAATGTGAGTCAATACTAAAGAATTTTCTTCTGGTTCAGTCATTGCTGTAACATATTTAAATAAAGAGATGGAAGTTACAAACTTTGGTGATATCGTGTTATGGGAAATATTTCAAGCAAAAGTAAACTGTTCGCTACGACAGACGGAAAATACAAGGCAGAAACAAAAAAAAGCATTGCACAAGTTTGAATGTAGTTCGCGAAGGGCTCTTTTTTACCAGTGGAAATATGGTTGTCTGAATGCTCGTTAGCATTTTCTTTCTCATTCCTGCAAGTGATCGCATTTGGGAACTGTTTTGTTTTTTTTTTTTTTTTTTTGAATATGTGGCTATTCAACACTCGTTGTGCGAAGTTTCCCTGTGCTTTGTCAATAAGACGAGTTTAAAGTTTCAAAGCCCAGCACAGAGAGGATTGCCAGTTATCAAAAGTTTGTGCATAGTTTTCGTAGTTTGGTAGCATTTCTAGCGCCCTTTTCGAGCTGCAAACAGTGCACTTCACATGAGAAGACCAGCTCTAGTCAAGTGTATGCGCGCGGTATTTGTGGAAACTTTTCCCTCACTTTGTCGAATGTGCAGATAGGTACTTGGTACAATAACACAAAGCTAAGAGAATGAAAAAGCAAAAGTGGGAAAACTTCATCGTTTCAGAATAGCTGCTTGGAGTTGGCGTATGTGTATTGATGTTTTGTTAATTAAAATATGTGTACAGATAGTTTGTGTAGTGATTTCAGATCAACCCTAAATTTGTTCTTTGGTGGGTATAAGTTCCCAGCTGCCACCAAGGACAAAGTTTGCGATGACAAAGAAAATACTTTACTCGTTCAAATTGTAAGAAGTGTGCAAAGTTATGTTTCGTTAAGCAATGATGTCGTGATTTATTGAATGTTTCCGGAATAAAAGAAGAAGAGTGCCCAACCTACATTGAAATCTCAAGTAACAATATTGGTAATGGTAATAGAAGAACAATTGAGACAGATTGACACAAAGTGTCGTTGAGCAACAAATCTGAATAAAACCAATTTCCGACTAAAGCCCAAAGCACCATTTGTGTATTCTTTCCATCACGAGCAATGCTCATGGATTTGAAATGTTGTTTCATGGTTATAAATTACCAAACAGCACAGCAATGGTGGATCAAGGAGGGTCTTTTGTGACACGTACCTGTGAATTTATTACGAAAAAAAAAAAAGTGAAAATTGTCCTCAGATACCCGAAGATATGACCTTACACTCAAATAATCTGTTTCAAATAGTCGTCAAAATTATATATTCATTTAATTTTTTAAGTAGCACTGCATATTTTCTGTTCTCAGATTTATTGTTTCTTAATTCAGCGGGCGACACACCCAATCGTTCCATATTTTTTTCCCAGACAATTAAAAATATATATAATGCAATATAATTACGCTGTTTCATTTCGAGAAAAAATATTTGCAATCCAAGCAGTTTGATTCATAAACACAAAATATGATCCTTTGCAAACAAAAGTAATGCATGATGAAGATTTAGAGGTCACGCAAAAGGTACATATGAAGTTTGTACGGAGGTTACAATCTTCTTCTTCTTCGCATTTAAAGCTTATTGCATATCGCATATTAGCTTATTGCGTGCTCTCAACTTAGTGTTCTAGATGCACTTCCACAGTTAATAATTGAGAGCTTTCGATGCCTGACCATTTTTGCAATGGTATAATTGTGTGGCAAGTCCAATCATACTTCTATGCCCAGGGAAGTCGAGAAATTTTCCATCCCGAAAAATTCCTAGACCGGACCGAGAATCGAACCCAGCCACCTCCAGCATGGTCTTGCTTTGTAGCTGCGCCTTTTCCGACTGAGCTAAAGGAGGCCCCAAGGTTACAATGAGGGCTGGTAAATAACTAAGTAGACAGTTTAAGGGGTGTTGGAAATGGTGTACGGTCCATATAGATAAAAAAAAGCTGGATTTATCACTCTATGTTGAGATCTGATCCTTCTTACTTATTCAAAATCCGACAAAAAACTTCAAGTCCTCATTTAGTGAAGAAAATTAAGATAATTTCTGATTGATATAGGGGTCTGCATGTAGAATGATATGGTTTGATGTGTCACATGACAGGTTTTGATCCAAGTTAAAAATTGATCACTTCCTAGGGTGTACCCAGAACATGTCGTGATGTAACCAATGTGGTTTTAGTATTCTGTAAGCCTGGTGTGGCATGATGGGTTTAACCTTTAGTCGAAAACCGGTCATATTCCCGTGGGCACACGGAACATGTCTGGATATGGTCAATGTGGTCCTGGACACTTCATGTGGCTACCACTGAACATGCACACTTAGTTTTTTCTACCGAACTCGGCTGTGCAAATCTCGGTAGAAAAAAGTTTTACTGTTCGACAGTGCACGAAGAAATTGTATCCGTATTCCGAAATATTACTGGGTGTGGTCAATGTGATCTAAAACGTGATAGGTTTTTGTACAAAGTAAATTTTGATCCATTTCCGGGTATTGCAAGTGGTAGAGTTGAACTACTCCAAAGCGCAAACACTAAAACAATGTGCACCAGTAAATCAAAGAGCGTGTCGAATATTATTTTGACATACATATTTTATTATGAACCCTTCATGCCTCCCATTCCTCCTAATTACTGCGGAACTGTTCAGTAAAAATATGTGGAAAATACAAAAATGAGAAAATTTATTCCGAATTTGTACAGATTTACAATCCTGATCACAATTTTGTGATCACCTTTTAAAAAAGTATTTTTTGTTCATTTTACGACCGGTTTTCAATCTATATAAATCATTTGAAAGGTATTGACTGACATTTAGTTCTTGGGCTACTACGAATTCCCTGAAATTTCGCGTAATTGTTCATTAGAGGCAACGAACTAATTTTTTGCTGGAATTAAGCCATTTTGACTCGTTCATTCACTGTATTGCAACCCTCCCCCTCAAAGCCTGTTTGACATTACATTTTATAGATTTTGAGCTAGAATATGACCTCCTATTTATTTAGGGATTTTTTTTAAGTTTTTCAAATTTATAATAGTATGTGTGTTCATTGGAAACTTTATTCCTTTTCCTTTCTGAGACGGATTAATGCTATGCTTAGTAGTTTGAATGATTGACCATAACTAACAATTGTGCTAAGTTTCATGCAAATCGGAGAAGGTCGAGTCTGAAATTCAGTTTTGTTTGCTATTTGGCATGGACATACTCTAGTACCCATTTCAGTAAGAAAGGGTTAACACAAAAATACGTTAATCTCAGTTCAACAACAGCAGCAATATTTTTTTTTTTTTTCTAAAAACTATTTAATTGTGAAACTGAAAAAAGAATTATTTAAATCAATCATTGTGGGATTCTTTAAAGCAGCGCTGCCATTAATTTTCGCGCAATTCTATGCATCATTTTGAATTTCAGTCTAGAATGAATGGGAAATAGTTAAAATGCAGCTTGAAATGTGTTCATGGAACATAGATATAAAAAAAAAGCATTTTTAGAAAGGTTGGTCAGGCGTGGTTTAAAGCAGATGTTCCAGTTTAAATTAAAAAATAATAATAAATATTGACTTTGTTCTAATTAAGTTTTGATGTCCCTCCCTTTTCGTTAAGAGCTGGTTCTACCTATGCAGCAATATCTCATGCTTCTATCAGTTTTTCATTATTCAATGTTGCCGATCCTGTTAGCTTCATTTCAAAATGCACGATTATTGCCCATTCTGCCTTTCGGCCAAAAGTTTTAACCTCGCCAGTGATTCGCATTAAACTGTTCACTAAAGTTCCACCCGCACTAAATACCGGGATCAAGCATTGGAACAACCATCAATAACCATCAAATTATTTTATACAAACAAACATTAACTTTTATTTTCGCATTTTTAACTTTGACACTTTTCCGTGCTTCGACCTTTCCCGACCAACACGGTGAGATTCAAACAGCCAGTCAGCAACTTTTTTCCCCACTTCCACCAGCAATAAACGCGTGCTGAAAAGCCTTCGATGGGATCATATCGAGCGAGCATCCTCATCGCTATTCAGAACCTCTCATCCTCGGCTTGTTCTCAGCTGCTCTTTGCATGTCATTCCGGTCGGTTTAGTCTGGCGAAGCGTAATTCTTTAAGCCTCCCTAGCGAAACATCATCCTCGTGTCTAAATATTTCCGAGTTACGATGCACGTTTGGAATTTCGTCGTTCGGTGCGATTTTCGGTAGGGTTAACTTTGTCAGGATTATAGGTGGAACATAAGCAGGAGTGCCAGTAGATATTTGAAACAATTTGCGTTTGGAATGGTAAGCATTTCGACTATTTTGATTTAGAAAACCAGACTATAGGAAATGCCGTTCAATTATTTTATAAAAAAAAACATACAAAATATAGCAGGGCAACAATTGGCATTGTTCCCACGCCTTTCAACGTATTAGAATCAGAAATCATTATTTCATTTAAATCAATGTCAGAAAGATACTTTACATTAGATGAGCACTTCAACGATGAATCAGAGATTTAGGATATGGTAACTTTTACACTATATTAGTTCAAAATATTGAAATCATAATAGGGTAGTTCGTAGGGTAGAGCGCTACTTCATCGTAATCACCCATTTCCGTTCTATCGATCAAAAAAGATCAATAAGATCAATGATTTCACCGTGCACAAATCAATAATAGGTTTGTTTCTATGCGTTATTTATTGAATGAATATTTACGCTCATTGTTCTCAAAACAAAAAAGCGTTCCTAGCGTATCCCCTTTTTCTACGTTTATCCGTAGGACGAATAAAATCTAATGGCGTTTCAATGCGTTAGGACGGAATTGAAACTCGTAGGACGAATTTAGAATCAAGAAGCAGTATTAAACAATATATACAATATCTCAACACAACAATCAAATTCAATTTTGTGTTCATATCCATACGAAAAAGAGAGGTTAAGTGCGAGTTGTGCTTAGTATGACGATAATTAGATCCAAAACCCTAGGTGTTATTTCTTGCACATTTTATGGGAAAGGCAGTGGTACGGAACAGCTAG